CAGACCGTGTGCCATTGATCGAAACAAGTGATAGTCAGAGGGAGCAACGTGTGGAGAATACGGCGGGTGGGGTAGGACTACCCATTTCAACGTTTCCAAATATGTCTTGACCACTTTCGCAACATGGGGTCGAGCATTGTCATGCTGCAAAATCACTTTATCTGTCTCTCGTCTCTCGTTGTATTGCGGCCGTTTATCTTTCAATGCTCGGCTCAAACGCATCAATTGCGTTCGATACTGATCGCCTGTGATTATTTCAGTCGGTTTTAACAGCTCATAATACGCTACGCCGAGCTGGTCCCACTAAATACAGAGCATGACTTTGGAGCCGTGAATATTCGGTTTGGTCGTCGACGTGGAAGCATGGCCGGGAACTCCCCATGATTTTCTGCGCTTGGGGTTATCGTAATGAATCCATTTTTCGTTCCCAGTCACAATGCGATGCAGAAATCCTTTCCGTCTTTGCCTTTCAAGCAGCTTCACAAGCAAATAAACGCCGTTCACATCTCTCGGCTTCAATTCGTACGGCACTCAATTTCCTTGCTTCTGAATCATTCCCATGGCTTTGAGACGTTTTTTAAATGGCTTGTTGAGTCACTCTCAATGATCGTGCCAATTCTTCTTGATTTTGACACGAGTCTTGATCAAGTAATGCCTCCAATCCTGCATCTTTAAAAACCTTCTCTCTTCGACGTCAAAATCACCGTTCTTGAAGCGTGAAAACCACTCACGACACGTTCTTTCACTAATAGCGGCCTCATCATAAATATTTGAGAGCATTCGATGAACCTCAGCCGCATATTTCTTCATATTAAAGCAGAAAATTAAAACCTCCCGCAAATGACGAGAATTTGGCTCGTAAACTGACATTTTCAATCGAGAATAACTTTATAATGCAGACACAAATCGACTAATGTTTCTATGGGGTTATGTTGACAGATGCCCAAGTTTATTGTATGACGTCTATGATCTACTTATTTCGACCACCACTTACCGCTAAAGCCATCTATAGGAAAACGGCGGAAGCAAAGTTGTACACCTAATATTTTTCTCGAATTCGTTCGATGCGTTCTTCCGGAATGTATTGAGCTCGATGTAACCGCGAAGCCATAGAGACTGCAAGAATCGTAAGACGCGATGAATCTTCGTCAAACGATTTCCCTGCCTTACGCACTGTTGCAGATTACGATTATAAATCACGTAGCGGCTCTTGTCGCGCAGAGTGGCGAGCAATTTCTTACTTTTTGTTTTTTCCTCTCTTCTAATACGGAGGTACATCGTGCACGAGGCAAAACGGCAAATCCGCGTGAGAATCGTGCAAATCACGCGAATGAGATCGACCTCGAGAACGTAGCCCGTCTCACCGTCAATTGGCACGAACATCACATCGAAACTCTCGACATCACCCTCGATTCATTCGAAATTTGTGTACAGCAACGGTTCACACATCGCTCAACCGTACAAATTCACGTCGTAATATATAAGATGCATCATCGGATTCGTCGAATCGTATTTGGGCGCGAACACATTGTTAGCTCTCGCATACTCGAACATTGACTCAATCCGCCGCGCACGCCGCGTTTCACAAACATCAGCATATCGATATCCGTGAACAACTTTATCCTCACGCCCGTGTGCTTCAACCGTATACTCCCTCCGGCCGCTTCCGTCGCATAGCCGCGCGGCGCGGGACTTCATGCAGCACGGCCCGTTTGCTCTTGGAGAGGGGCGGAGCCGGTTCGCCACCCGGTCACCCGCCCCTTATGCCATGGGTCCCGGCCGACTTACAGGGGGGAGGAGCAGGACTGCGTCGGCCCCCTCCCCCCCGCGGTCAGGAACATCTTATCCCGAGAGAGGGGGAGACGGCAGCGAGTGTGCCCGCAATGCCCCCCACTCCGCAGGAAGGGCGCCCATCGCCGTCGCCCCACCCCCTCTTCCCCGCCAGCCGCTCCAGGCGCCGCCGCCGAGTCTTGGCAGCACCTGTCGCGGAAGAAGGGACTGAAACTGCCGCCTGCGGGCTTCTAGTGCCTTAGTGGCGGTGGCCTCCCTCCTCTGGCGTCTCTCTTTGCGCCGCCTCCTCCTCTGGCGTCTCTCTTCGCGCCACCTCCTTCTCTGAGGAGGCGGCCCGACGGGCGCAGCCGGCGTGGTTCCAGGGGAGGGTAGAACAACCCTTCCCGCCATGCCGGCTTGCGCCCTCCTTCCCGGTGCCGGCACACCCCGTTGGTGTGTCGGCCGAGGGCGGGGGGGCGCGGCGAATTCGTTGCCCCCTCCCCCCCCACAGCCAATTCCCTCCTTCTGGCCCTCTCCTGTTCCTCCTTCTGCGACATGACTTCTTCGCAGAAGGAGGTAACAGCTGACCAGGCCTCTCGTCCCCCTAACATGGCCCTGGTAAGGACCGGGGGCGAGAAGTCCGCTCCCACTACGCTTGTGAGGACACGGCGCTGTCCCTCGCACGCCGGGCATTTGCCCAGCGTGTGTTGCGCCGTGTCCTCAGTGGTGGCAGCGGCTGGTGCACTCCTTCCGGACTACCCTATGCAGGTACTCACCGAAGCAGCCGTGGCCAGTGAGCACCTGAGTGGTCCGGAATGTGAGATCTCCGTGTGCCCTGCCTACCCATTCAAGAATGGGTTAGTAGGCAGGGCACACGGTAGGCAGGGCCGGATGGCGTCGGCGACCCTCTTCCCGGAGCGGCCCGTCGCCTCTTCCAGCTGCATCTTCCAGCGGAGGAGGAGGCGTTGACGGGCCTACTCCCTATGGAGGGCTATGGCCCTGGCAAGTCCTGTCCCGTTGTTGTTCCGCCGGCGGAGCTCCCCAATACGCCGATAGTTTTCGGCGTACATCATAGCAAGGAGCTTCACCGGGGGGATCCATGCCAGAGCCGTGGCGGCCGCGTGCGACGTGGTCCTATAAGCCCGGGAGAGGCAAGTGGCCATAAACCTCTGGGCCCAGCGGACCATTTGTTGGATCCGCCGGGATCCGGCCATCTCGCCCGCCCAGATTGGGGCTCCGTACAGGGCCACCGAATGGACTACGTTTGCAAACAGCCGTTTAGCCCGCCTTTTCGGGTTGCCGACATTGGGCAGGAGGGCACTTAGCGTACACGCCATCCTGCCCAGCTTGGGGGTTAACACAAAATGTCTCTCAAACCCGCAAGCGCCATCCAGGGTGAGTCCGAGGTACTTCATCTCGGTATCCACCCTCACGGAGATCCCGCCAATCCGGAGCTTTAATCGAGGGGGTCTCCTCCTACTCCCGTCATGGAAGAACTAAGTTTTCGTTTTCGGGGGAGACACCTCGAGGCCCATGCTCCGGATGAAGCCCACTACCTGGTCGAGGGCCAGTTGCCCCATGTCCCTGGCTTGTTTCCAACCCCGTCTCCCGGCCACCACTAATGTGTCGTCCGCGTAGCAGACGACGTGGCAGCCGGGGGGGGGGAGGGCAGTCCGGAGGACCTGGTCGTATGCGATGTTCCACAGAAGAGGGCCGATTACTGACCCCTGCGGAATACCGCAATACACCCCCCCTTCCGCATTGGAGTTCCGTTTTATTGCGGAACTTCAAGCGCCTGTCCCGGAAATAGTTCCTTATTATGTGGACCAGGTAGGGCGTGAACCAAAAGTGGGCCATTCCCGCCTCTACTTGGTCCCAGGGGAGGGTATTAAAGGCGTTGGCTATATCAATTAATACAGCCAACGCCACCCCCCCTCCCTCACGATTGCCTCCGAGAGGGACCTGACGCGCTTGATCGCATCCACGGTTGATCGGCCCTCTCGGAAGCCATACTGCGCGTCGTCCAGCGCGGGACCATTCTGGGACAAGTGCTGGACGAGGCGGGCTTGTATGATTCTTTCGAACATTTTGCCCACCTCGTCCAACAGACACAAAAGTCTATATGCGGAAGGGGTTTCCTCCGGCTTGTTCTCCTTGCGTAAGAGAACCAGTCTGGCCGTCTTCCACGGGGTCGGAAACAGGCCAGCTTCGAGGCAGAGGGTGAAGAGCCGTCTAAGGCGGCACCCCAGTCTCCCCTCCTCGGCCAAGGCCAAGGCCCATATTCGGCCCGGGATGCCGTCAGGGCCAGACGTCTTTCCTTTGGCGCCGAGCCTCTTGGCAGCTCGCCTCATCTCCTCCATCGTCATCCCGAGCTCCTCCTCCTCCCAGTCGGAAGGGGCTCCCGCATAGGGTGGGATATTGTTTCCCAACCTCGGAAATAACCCCTTCACAATTTTGTCGAAGAGCTCGGGGTTAAGGGTATCCGTGAGTGGGGGCGCCAATGGGCGCAATCGCCGTATTACCATCCGGTATGTGCGCCCCCAGGGATCCTGATCTACGGAGGAGATGAGGTCCTCCCAGGCCAAGGCCTTGGTTTTGGCGATGGCCTTCCTCACGGCGCCTCTCCTTGCCGTGAGGACGGCCGATGCTGCCACCCGCGCGTCCCTATCCCAGAAGGCCACGTCAAGGCCGACGTGCTGGCTGGGAAGATGAGGACCCTCTTCGCCGGGGAGAAAGAAGTGCGCATCGCGCGACCGGCAAAGAGAGTCGAACTTCGGGTCTCCTACGTGTGGGGTGGGCCACCGTTCATGTGGAGGTCCTCGCGGGGCGCTCGCTGCAATGTTACAGGTGCATGCAGCGGGGCCATGTAAGGGCAACGTGTACGTCGGTGGTAGACCGCAGCGGACTCTGTTACCGCTGCGGCCTGGAGGGCCGCCATCGCCCTCCAGGCGCGGCCGGTGCAGCGCCTGAGCTCGGCGATCTCCGCCGACCATCATTAGGCGCTCCTGCGGGCTGCGGGGGAGAGGATCGGGGCATGGACGCATCGCACGCGTCCTGCATCATGCCCCGGATCCTCATTACTTCCCCCCCCCCCC